GCGCCGACCAGGGCGCCGCGGCGCGGCGCCCCGCGCCGGCGCCGGCCGCGGCTGCTGCCGTCGGGGCCGTCGGTGGGGTTCCGCCGGCCCCCGCCGTCCACAGCGTCCTGCGGGCGCTCATCCCCTCCCTCCAGGACCAATTGGGGCTGCGGCTGCCAACAGCGATGGACGAGGGAGGGTCGCCCGGCCGCGTCCCGCCGCCTGAAGCCGCTCTGCCGCGAGCCGGCGGCCACCACCGCCGCCCTGCCGACGGCGCCGCGCGCCACAGGAGCCGCCACGCTCTGCCGGGTCCCCGGCGGGCGCGCGGGCGCCAGCAGCCGACGCTGGACGGGTGGCTTGGCGGCGAGGGGGACGGCGCGCCGCCCAGCGCCCCGCCGGCGCGCAAGCGCCGCCGGGCGCCGGGCGAGGCCGGGCGCGGCTCATTTCAGGAGGGGCCGGCGGCGGAGCGGCAGCAGGGGCCTTGGCCTGGCGATTATTTGGATGGCAGCGGCGACGGCGGCTGGGACAGCCAAGTCGGCAGCGGCAGCGGTGGCGGCAGCGGAGCTCGGCCGCGGGCGCCGCGTGGGCAGGGGCGCGCGCGCGGCAGCGGCGGCTGGGCGCGGGCGGACGGTGGGCTGGCGGCGGGGCCGGAGGAGGACGTTGGCAGCCAGGACACTGAAGGTGGGTGGAACATGGTGGCGTGTGGCGACAGCGCTGAGACAAACAAAGAGGTTGGGGGTTTGAAGCTGGTCGCTCTCCACCAGGTTTGGCTCAAGACCTGTTGGCCTGGGGGCTGACACCTGGGGGCTGTTTCAAACAGGCCGCCATCACCGTTCGGCATGCAAGGGCAAACCAAGCGCCAGGGCCACCGAGGGGCGTGCGGGGTGCATGGGTTGGGCACAGGCTGCATGCGGCTTTGCGGGAGGCGCGCCGGCCGCAGCTCGTCACACTCCACGCCTGCGGCCCACGCCCCATCCGACCAACCAACCACGAGCACCGTTCCCACGCATCGAACCGCACTCGCGCGCGTGTGCAGACGCGCCCTACTACCGCCGCTCCGGTGGCAGCGGCGGCGGGCAAAGCGGGGGCTACAGCCAGAGCAGCGGCAGCGATGGCGGCGGCAGAGGCGGCAGCGGCGGCGGCAGCGGCTCAGACGAGGACGACAGCTGCATCCAATCCGATGACGCCCCTCTGAAATACGACACCGAGGTCGAGAGCGAGGATCAGAGGGAGGAGGACGACCGGCTGCAGCGCTGGGCGGCGCGCGAGGGCGCCTGGCGGCCGGCGGCGAGGGGCGGCGGCGGCAGCGGCGCGGCGCAGGGGGACGACAGCGCCGCGGGGCCGGCGCGGCGCCGCAGTGGGGAAGGCGGCGGCGGCGGAGGGCGCGGGGTCGGTGAGAGCCTGGCGGGGGGCGGCGGGGGCGGAGGCACGCAGCAGCACCGCGGGCCGGCCTCGCAGCGCGGGGCGCGCCCACGGCCCCGCGCTCCGGGCGGCGGCGGGCGGCGTGGGCGGCGCCGGGCCGCCAGCGCGGCGGCGTTCGGCGGAGGCTCCTACGACTGCGTTGAGGGGCAGGGCGGTTGGGACGACCTCGCTGACGAGGATGCTGACGAGGACGGAGAGGAAGACGAGGAGGCGGCGGGATTCGTGGTGCCCGACGGCATTCCAGAGGAGGAGCTACGCCGCGGCCGCACCCCTGGCG